GGGGGGGGGAGCCCCGGCCACAGCCGTCTCCTCGCGCCAGCACAGACTGGCTACGGAGGCTGAGGACGCAGCTCACCCGGCCCCTGGTGTCTGGAAACGTTTCGAAAATGCGGTGAACTAGGGGAAGTCACCCAGCGAGTAAGAGGAAACGTGGGGAGAGCCCTGGGGTCAGAGGTGCTGCTGCTGGAGACCAGTAACCCCCTCCGCACCTCCACACACCCAGGCCAGCTGCCTTCAGAGGCCCTGCTTCTGGGTGCTCGGTTACATTGCTAGGAGCCTGGGCTGGAGCCCTGGTGTGTGAGTGGGGAGCCCGAGTCAAAGGGTAAGGCACTGGAGACAGCTGGCTTCTGCATCTGCTGAAAAACCTGCCTCAGAGCCAGCCAGCAGCAGCCGCGGCCACCTGGGGCACACAGGCCGCCTCGCAAGGTGTCTTTCTCCAGGGTCTTCAATCCCAGGAAAAGCAAGTTCCTACTTATGATCTGGAAGAATGCAAGGGAGAACCTTGTCTGACCCTGGGCACTGGACATGGAAAGCACCAACGTTCAGTCCATGGAGTGGGCACCCACGCTGGGGCACTCGGGCTGGGACCTGAAGGAGGCACCCGCCGGACAAGCTGTAAAGGCAAGAGGCAGCCATGTGAGCAGGTGTGTGTGTGTGAGCCTTGAGTGACCGTCTATACCTGCAGGAGCCCAGTGGACAATCTCTCAAGTGCAGACAGGGAGGGAACACCCGTCCACCCAGGCGAATCTTCCATCAGCTTCCAGTAAGCCCATCTGGAACTTGCAGGCCAAGGCCTTTCTCCCTGCAGTAGACCTGGCTCCTCACTTCACCAGGAGCCACCCCCAAACTGATCCGGGATGGAGTGTCACCCAGGCTCTAGCAGGGAGGTACTGGCTGAACCCTGAGGTAGAGTCGTTCCCATGGCTGGAGCCCACTAACAGCAGAGCCTCCAGCAGAAGAAAAACGCGAGAAGACTCCTAACCCAAAGGGTGGACAGGGCTGGACCCATAGGCCCAAGGCTGTCGCCACATGCCCGGGAGCTCCCACAGAAAGGGCGGCCCAGCCTAGCCGCTCACTATCCTGGGCTGATGCAAAAAGGCCCAGCGATGCGTGGGTGGTGGCCCAGTACCTCCAAGCGTGTGCACCTGTGCATGCACGCGTGTGCCACACATGCAGCTGCGGGCCCGGTGCTCACCACACTCTTCTGATGTGAGGTGGGCGCCTCCCAGATGTGGGTGTTGGGAGGAGGAAATGAAATCTCTGAGGTCGTTCCAACAGAAATACACCTAGAAGGGCATCCATTCTAATAAAACCAAAGAAAAGAGAGAAAAGAGGAGAGAGGATAGAAAGGAAGGAGGACGAGGCGAAGACGGGGAAGGGGAGGCGAGGAGTTTAAAGGAAAGGCAGGAGCGAGGCCCCGTCCCCACACACTGAAGAAGCCTCTCGGACACAGGGTACGCGTGACTGACCAGCCCGGTGTGTGAGAGCAGCAGAGGTGCTGCCTGCAAACACGTGCCACTGCGGACCTCACAGCTGAAAGCCCCACGGGGCAGGCGGGCCTGAGTCCCCCAGACTGTGTGCCAGCTCCCGCTCACCAGCTGGCCGCCTGCAAGAAAGCCCCAACGGCCCCTGGCTCCCCGAGGCCATGTGGTGAGAGGTGAGGTGCTGCTGGCCTGGTCCTTCCTCGGGCCGAAGCAGAACTCGGCAGCACCTCAGCCCAGAACCAAGACGAAATGCCCTAGCATGAACACTACAGACTCCCATGTCTCCCTTTATCCACCCCCAGGGACAGGACCCCACCGGGATGGCCAGCTCAGAGGACACAGGGAGGTGACGCCGCTTGGAGGCCGTGCAGGTACAGAGGCACTCCCTGGTGAGCGCGGGGTGAGCTCCCTGGCGAGTGCGGGGTGAGAGCAGCACTTCTCATCCCCACCGCCCCTCAAGGCAGGCTGCCCACCGCCCACCCTGGGAATGTGGGGCCCTTTTCTCCAGCACGAGCGGGGGGGGGAGCCCTTCATTTTACTTCATCTGCCTTGACAGGCGATATATGCAGGTGCTAACTGAAGCTCTGCTAAGGCTCTAAAAACTAAGAATCACAGAAAAAAAAAAAAAAAAAAACAAGACCACAGAGCCCATCCAGCCTGGAGTCCCATTGTAGATGCAGAAAATGTGGCCACTGACCAGCACCTGGCTTGCCACGGCCCTCTACCTACTCAGAGGCAGTCCTGGCTGCAGTCCAGCACCCTCCCCCACGACATCCCCAGGGGCTCAGTTTTTATCCCTGACCTGGTGACAACCAGCCTGGCTGGACACAGCCCGACAACCAGCCTGGCTCACAAGCCCTCACCAAGAAGTGAAGTGAGGTTCCTGAGGATCCCCACAGGACTCCAGGCGGGCTCAAGCAAGACGCCCCGAGGTGGGCAGGTCTCTGAGGCAGGCCTCCCCCTCGCCTGCCTATGCCTGCCACGCGGCCCACAAGAGGAGCCTTTTTCCTTTCCAGTTAATCCAGATGGGCCCAGGGACAATGCCAATCCACGGGAGGCAGTGACTCTGCACCAGTTTCAGACCTAGAACTGAAGAGGCCTCGGAGCGTCTACACTGGCTCTCTTGGAGCCCAGCTGCTGTGCTGGAGGGCAGTCCAGGCTCCCCCGTTTGAGAAACACATGGAGAGGGTCTGGACGCAGCACCAACGTGGACAGGCCGTGGGAAGAAGATCCGAGATGCCCTGGCTGATGGAACCAAGCTCTGGGATGAGAGGGCCGCTGCCTTGGACCTCCTAGCCTGGCCGCCAGCTGTCCCATGAAAGGCTTCAGCCAACAACTTGGGGAGCAGAACAACTGCCCAGGCGACCCACGGAACTGTGAGAATAAACACTACTGGCTTGGCCACGAAGGCCTGGGTAAACTGCAGCAAGAGGTAGCTGAAACTACGGAGGGAACGACTGACCAAAGCCTTCGGGGTGATGGTTCCCTCTGAACAGGAGAAGGGCAGCCAGGGGTCTTTTGAAATACTAGGAATGTGCTGCTTTTTAAACCTGGATACATCTAGATTTAGTATTTAAATATGCATACTTTTGCATGGAGATGTGCTTTCCATTTTCTTTCTTTTTATTTTTTAAATTATTTTTCTTTTCAAGCAAATGAATACTTTTATTAACACTTTTTTTTTTTTAAAACATGGTAAGGTTTTGACCTCAAATACTTGTCAGGTCTGCTAATGAGACCAAAGGAGGAGAGATGTATTTTGTTCAAAACTTAAATTTTACATGGTTCGTTATCTGACGTAATCTGTTTTTTTACTGTTTTGCCATAGGGTGTGTGCACTTGCTGGAGAAAGAGTGAGAGGGAAAGTGAGAAATCACCCCCTGGAGGGAATGGCCACATTGCAGTCCTTTCTCCTCCACTCTCTTCTCCTCTCAGGATTTTGGGAACACAAGCACCCAGTGTGATTTTCAAGCTGCTGGGTCTGGGACTCGAACCACAGGTGGCCATATAGGATCCAGCCACCTTAATCTCCACACTATCTGCTGGCCCCTCAAAAATTTTAATACGAGGCCCAACCCATAGCCTGGTGGTTAAAGGAGCTAGTTGGCTGGATCCCACCTGTCTGACCATGTGGTTCATGCTAGGTGCACGTGCATGCATGCCCAAAATCCTGAGAGAAGAATGGAGAGAAGGGAATGTGGTGTGAACACGCCCCACTGGGGATGCTTTCTCCCTCTTTCTCTGGTAAGTGCTTGCACCCACGGGCAAAATATTTTAAATAAGAAAACAGGTATGTGGAGAAGTGGGTTGATCCCATTCATGTACCCTGCCCTGGGCCAAGGCAATCCTGAGGCCAGGCCCTGGGGTACAGCATGACAGCGAGGTCAGCAGAGCTGCAGGAGTAGCGGCTCACATGGGTGGGGCCTGGAAGGGTTGGCCACAGCAAGCACATCTCATTTGTTGTTCAGTTCCCAAACACCTGCAGGCCACTGCAGAAGGCAGGCTTCTCCCCGGGTCATGTCCACTCTGCTACACTCAACAGACCCCTGGAACAACAGAACAGCATTTATCTGACATGCCAGGCAACACAGTGCGAGGTACGGCACAGCCATCTCTCCTGAAAACTAGGAGCATGGCCACACAGTTCCATTCGAAAGGCAGTCAGCACTACGGATGCTCAGGGCCACTAGGGTCAGGCCAACAAGGACCTGGTCCCACCAACTCCAGCAAAAGCCTCTCCAGTGGGATGGCCTCACAGTTGAGCTAGAGAGTTAAATTAAGTGACGTGTGTGAGGCCCAGTACAGGGCCTGGCACTTTGTAAGCACCCAACTAATTATTGTTAGGAAGCAAATGTAGATTGTAGATAAGGGTTTTTTCTTTTTTAGGTCGAAGACCTTATTTGGTGGTTTTTCCACAACCTTTTACACTGAGTACCCTGGGTGTTGAGTACACCTCTTTGGTGACTTGACCTTGTTAAGAAGTGGTAATCATAACCCATTATTCCTTCTAATGCACTCTGGGAAAATCTCGAAACATCCTTAGCATGGAGAGGAGGGAGCGAAGAGAGGGGCGCTGAGAAAGAGCTCCTCTCTGTGGGGAGGAGGTGCTCTGCTGGACCCCAGGGTGTGAGGCTGAGGGCTGGAGTGCCTGTCCAGAGCACTAAGCAGCCTCTGAATGAGCGCTATCAGTGAGCCGTTAGCAGGTGATCAGTAAGCAGTAAGCTGCAGCCCAGGTTTCCAGGTGCCACACAGACAGAGGCCACTCAGCTGGCCAGCCACTGGCCTGCCATGGGAGATGCTGGTCTTCCCAGACAACGGTCCCTGTACCCAGCTCCAAGCCCCGACTGGGACACAGCCACCTCTTGTCCAGCACCCTGAGGCCAGAGAGATCGCCTCTAGCTCCCAGTTGCTCAGTGTTCCTGGTTTTCTAGAAATACAGGTGGCCCCACGATATAAAGGCAGGCAAGGAACTGGAAGTTCACACCAGGCCAGCTTTGCGAGCATGAGACCTCCCTGCCCGGCCCCACCCTCCCTTTACTGCCTCCCTTCGGAGCAGCATGGCAGAGAAGCAAATACCGACAATTCCTCCTTGCCAGCAAACACTGCTTGCATTAAGATTGTGTATCCTGAGCCAGCCCCCTAGCCCAACGAGTAAGGAAGCTGGAGCCACATGGCTGAGCAAGGTTTGAATCCCGGCTCCGGTAGCTTGAAAAACACACCAGGCCTGTGTGCGTGTGTGCCCCAATTCCCAGCAGGACAGAGAAATAGAGAAAGGACTGCAGCACGAATATGCCCCATTAGGGGATGCTTTCTCCCTTTCTTTCTTTCTTTTTTTTTTTTTTTTTTTTGGGTTTTTTTTTTTCTTTGATTTTTTTTTGAGAGTTTTTTTTTTCGCTATAGGGCACGTACGTGTGCTCGCCAGACAGACAGAGAGAGGCATAGAGACAGAAAGCGAGAAATCACCCCCCAGGGGGGATGGCCACGCCACAATCCCTTCTCCTCCATTCTCCTCCCGGGATCTTGGGCACGCACGCACATGCGCCTGGCGTGAGTTTCAAAGCCACCGGGTCTGGGACGCGAACCGTGGTCAACTACGTGGGAGTCCAGTGACATAGCCATTATGCTAACTGCTGGTTCCCCTTTCTCCCTTTCTGTTTCTCTCTCTCGCTCTCTCTCTCAGGCAAGGCATGAACCCTCTGACAATTCAAAATGGAAAAAAAAAAAAAAAAAAAAGATTGTTTCCAAAACTCTTAAAATCCATTTCCCCTTAGATAAACATACAAATCCAACTCAGCCTCCCCACAACCTTCACCATCTATGGATGGTGCCCACCTCAACCCTGAAAAACCACTGCTGTCTTCTACTTAACTCCTACCAGCTAAGACGCAGTGGCATTTTCTGAAGTGTGTATTATAGGAACACTTTTTAAATCTAAAGAAGTCTAAATATAAATGAAATGATGATGCTAACTTTGCTTTTCAAACCATATAGCTACCACCACCTCCAAGGCTTAGCTGCATTTCTGAGGGGAGTAGCACTGCCCTGCCTGACCCCCAGTGGACCTGAAGATGGCCGAGTGGGAAGGCTGGGTGGCCCTGCGGGAAGAGCTGCCCTGTGGCCCCTGCCAGCTCAGAGTCCACCATGCTAGTACTTGCTCCAAGGGCTCCTGAGCACAATATGGTAAGGGCTTTCCTCTGAAAAGGCACACTAAGAGCCTGGGGGCTGGGGCAGTGTCTGGTGGTTCCCCGACCCCCCTCCGCCAGCCTCACATACTTCCTGGGTGTCAGCATGGCGGCAGTGAGCACACTGACACAGCTGTGCTCACAGCCCGCCCCCTCGTCCTCCCCAGTCTATGACGCACTGCCAGCAGCGGCAGCTGCTCATTTCTTCCCACGGCTGAGTATGGCGCTAACCCGGGGCCCTCCCCTCAAGCAAAAAAAAAAAAAGTTGGAACAGGCCTGGGGGAGGCCGGGGGCCCCTGGCCTTTTTGAACATGATTAAGTTAATGTCAGAATATTCCAAGGACCTTTGCAAAATGATAATATTTTTGGTGCTTGTTAACTGAGAATAAAAAAGCCATTTCCATTCTATTACTCACAACTGCATCTGTACACATGAGATACCTCTTTGTACGTGGAGGAGCAGTTCCCCAATGCACAGGAGGCCGGCAGGCTGTAGAGCCCACAACTGCCCTCGTGGGCCCGCCACCCGTAAGTTCGGAAGAGGTGGCCAGTTTAGCCAGCATTCAGGGGGTGTCTCCTGACTTGCTGGAGGTGCTGTGTTAGCGCTTAGAGTTTGGGGGACAGCCGGTGACCACGGATCGGAATAACACGTGCTGTTGGACCTACTGCTGGGAGAAAGCCACAGCAAGCCGAGGGGTGGCGGGGGGGTGGGGGGGGAGGCATTCATATTTCAAAAAGGGGGCAGCTCTGTGGCACAGTGGTGAAGCCCTATTCAAAAGAAGCTGGAGCCCGTGTGGCAGTTGTGATTTGAACCCCGAGCCCAGTCAGCCTGAAACACACTGGGCACACGTGCGGTGCCCAGGTCCGTGGGCTGACCAGGCCCTGCGGGGGTGCTCATCTTTCTCCCTTGCTCTCGCTCTCTTATGTGCATGCATGTACTCTTCTGTAATGACTAAAGAGAAAAACTATTTTTAGGGGCCGGCAGGTGGCGTGGTGGTTAAGGGGCTGGACTTCTACATGGCCAATTGCGGTTCGAGTCCCGGACCTGGCAACTTGTTTTCTCATTTTCTTTCTCTTTCTCCCTCTCTCTTACTCACTCTGTCCCCCTCTTATCAAAATTTAAAATAAATAAAATAAATAATAAATAAAAACCATTTTAAAAATTCAATTTTTAGGAAAGGGAAAGGGCCAAGGAGGACCTCTCTGAGAAAGTGGCATTTAGGCAAAGCCCTGAGTCAAATGTAAGAGGAGCCAGGCCAGGGCCCACTACAGACACAGGACAGCAGAAGCAAAGGTCCTGGGTAGGCATGAGCCTGGCACAGGGGCTATGTCTGCAGAGGAGTGAGTGAGTGGGGGCGTGAGGAGCTGAGGCTGGCAGCGCGAGACCTTGGACTCCCTTCGAGGCATGCTGGGACACCTCAGAGGAAGTCCAAAGTGGACAGCTGACGCTTTTAAGGGCCACTCTGACTGCAGAGCAAAGAAAGTCAGGCACGGGGGACAAGAATTAAGGCAGGAACACCAGCCGGGCTACTGCAGTAGCGAAGCGAGAGAGGGTGGAGCGTCACCACACAGGCAGCAATGAAGGCAAGAGGGGGTCGGGTTGGGGTGCGCTTTGGCAGAGGGGCGTAACTGGCTGATGGAGAGGATGTGGGTTGTGAGGAGAAAGCAGCCCGGGACTACACTAACGCCGTGGCCCTGAGAAGTGGCCCGGGGACGGTGAGGCTTGCTGAAGTCTGGTGGGGAAGGTGGGGGTCCTGCCGCTTGCAGAGATGGAGGTTAAAGCCATGAGACAGCACGAGCTCTTTGCGCAGCGGATACTGGGTCGTGAAGGTCGATGGACGAGGATCAAGGACACATGTTAGAACCCAGCTTCCATATTCAACAGGATGCCCTGGGTAAACTTCTTGGAGTTTTAGATTGCTCACCCCCAGAACAGAAAAACCACCATAAATGTGATGGTTCTCACTGGGGTCCAATGAGATAAACTGCAGATAGGACGCGCTACCCAAGTACGGCAAGGTGGAATTGGATGGTACTGACACGGGGCTGGACTGGTACACAGTTAAAACGAAAAAAAAAAGGGGGGAGGAGAACAAACCAGACTATTCCCAGAGCCTTCCCTTTCCCAGTGATGTGCAGGCTCTTCTCTGACAACAGTGGCTGCTCGAAGCCTTGGGGAGAAGCTGGTGAGG